TCCCATGTATTTTACCAGAAAACATAGATAGGGCAGCCTAAAAAAGTCAGTGGCCTCCTAACCGTACCCAAGCACTCCGAGTTTGTTGGTGATGTCCATCTTGCTCTAGGAGTTCATGGTGACGTAACCCTATCGCTAATTGGAATTTTCCTCCATTTGGGTTTTCCCATGTATTTTACCAGGAAACATAAATAGGGCAGCCTAGAAAAGTCAGTGCCCTCTTAACCATACCCAAGCACTCCGAGTTTGTTGGCGATGTCCATCTTGCTCTAGGAGTTCATGGTGACGTAACCCTATCCCTAATTGGAATTTTCCTCCATTGGGGTTTTCCCATGTATTTTACCAGGAAACATAAATAGGGCAGCCTAGAAAAGTCCGTGCCCTCCTAACCATACCCAAGCACTCCGAGTTTGTTGGCGATGTCCATTTTGCTCTGAGAGTTCACGGTGACGTAACCCTAACCCTAAGTTGAATTTTCCTCCAATGGGATTTTCCCATGTATTTTACCAGGAAACATACATAGGGCACCCTAGAAAAGTCAGTGCCCTCCTAACCATACCCAAGCACTCCGAGTTTGTTGGCAATGTCCATATTGCTCTAGGAGTTCATGGTGATGTAACCCTAACCCTAATTGGAATTTTCCTCCATTGGGATTTTCCCATGTATTTTACCAGGAAACATAGATAAGGCGGCCTAGAAAAGTCAGTGCCCTCCTAACCATACCCAAGCACTCCTAGTTTGTTGGCGATGTCCATTTTGCTCTAAGAGTTCACAGTGACGTAACCCTAACCCTAATTGGAATTTTCCTCCATTGGGATTTTCCCATGTATTTTACCAGGAAACATAGATAGGGCCGGCTAGAAAAGTCAGTGCCCTCCTAACCATACCCAAGCACTCCTAGTTTGTTGCGATGTCCATTTTGCTCTAAGAGTTCCAGTGACGTACCCCCACTAACCTAATTGAATTTTCGTCCAATGGGGATTTTTCCCATGTATTTACCAGGAAACCTAGAAAGGGCAGCCTAGGAAAAGTCAGTGCCCTCCTAACCATAGACAAGCACTCCGAGTTAGTTGTCGATGTCCATTTTGCTGTAGGAGTTCACGGTGACGTAACCCTAACCCTAAGTGGAATTTTCCTACAATGGGATTTTCCCATGTATTTTACCAGGAAACCTAGAAAGGGCAGCCTAGAAAAGTCAGTGCCCTCCTAACCATACCCACGCACACCTAGTTTGTTGTCGATGTCCATTTTGCTCTAGGAGTTCACGGTGACGTAACCCTAAGTGGAATTTTCCTCCAATGAGATTTTCCCATGTATTTTACCAGGAAACATAGGGCAGCCTAGAAAAGTCAGTGCCCTCCTAACGATACCCGAGAACTCCGAGTTTGTTGGCGATGTCCATTTTCCTCTAGGAGTTCATGGAGACGTAACCCTAACCCTAAGTGGAATTTTCCTCCAATGGGATTTTCCCATGAATTTTACCAGGAAACATACATAGGGCAGCCTAGAAAAGTCAGTGCCCTCCTAACCTTACCCAAGCACTCCGAGTTTCTTGGTGATGTCCATTTTGCACTAGGAGTTCACGGTGACGTAACCCTAACCCACAGGTCGGCAACCTGCGGCTCCGGAGCCGCATGCGGCTCTTTGAGCCTTCCCCAGTGGCTCCCAGCCTCCTCTGCCTTTGCAGAGAGAGACAGAGACAGAGAGGCAATTGCGCTTCCCTGCCTCTCTCTCTCTCTCTCTCTCTCTCTCTCTCTCTCTCTCTCTCTCTCTCTGTGTGTGTGTGTGTGTGTGTGTAAAAGATTGCACTCACAGTGTTCTCCGAGGAGCTGAAAAGCTTTCTGGACGGAGCTCCTCCCTTTGCTGCGTCTCTGCAGGAAGCAGGAAGCAGGAAGGGCAGGAGAGAGCTAGCTAGCCCAGCTAGGCTGACTCAGGAATTCTGGGAGTTGAAGTCCATGAGTCATAAAAGAGACGAGGTTGCCTACCCTGATCTTGTTGGACAACAGTGTGAAGCTTTCCAGGTGAGCAGCAGATAGGAGAGAGAGAAAGAGAGAGAGAGAGAGAGGGAGGGAGGGAGAGAGAGAGAGAGAGAGAGAGAGGAAAGAGAGAGAGAGAGAAAGAAAAAGAGTGGGGTAAGAGGAGTGGCAGGCCGACCAAGGGCAGATAGAGAGGGAGCGAGAGAGAGAGACAGAGACAGAGAGAGACCCTTTTGACATCTAAAATGAAGATAACACTGCATATATCCTTTTTTTACCTGTATGTGTATGTGTATGTATGTGTATATATATGTGTGTGTGTATACATACATACATACACACACACACACACACACACACACACACACACACACACACCTATAATAAAGGTAAAAAAGGATATATGCAGTATTATCTTCATTTTAGATATCAAAAGGATTTCGCAGCTCCCGGTGTTTTGTTTTTGGTGGGAAACAGGTCCAAGTGGCTCTTTGAGTGTTTTGGGTTGCCTACCCCTGCTCTAGATCAGTGTTTCTCAACCTTGACAATTTTAAGGCATGTGGACTTCAACTCCCAGAATTCCACAGCCAGCATTGCTGGATTTCTGGGAGTTGAAGTCCACATGCCTTAAAATTGTCAAGGTTGAGAAACACTGCTCTATATTCGTATTGATTTTCAGCAGACACATTCCTGCCTTTGTTCCTTGAGGAATATTTGTTAGCATAAGCGTTTTAATGTCTGTGATCATGCACTGAATTAAACACACATGCAAGGCAAGAGGAGGTCATCCATAGTTCAGCAGTATTGCATGCTGATGCATAAGAATAGCTATTTTTAAACTAGGAAGGAAACACGAAAAAGCGATTCCACAGATGGGGAAGTCGAAGAGGCAGAAAACGGCACTTGGAGAAATTTAATTCTATCCAGTTCTCTGCAGAGTTTTGTTGATATATAGCCACATGTCATCATAACTCTTAGCAGTTCGCCACAATTACCAAGTACAATATTTCAGCTTTCACCATTCTTTGTGCTTTTCGTGAGCTTCTTCAAGTCCTATGTTTAGTTGATTTGGATTCTCTCTATCACAAAACATGGTTTATTAAGAGGTTTTCCAACTTTTTTTAAGCTGTGGAACCCCCTGATCAACATTTTAGCTGCTAAGACCATGTTAGTCCTGGATTTTGTCCAGCTCTGATTTAGAGACTCCGCTCCAAGATCTGGCTGTCAAGTTCACCTTCATTCCTAAAGACATATCTTGGAGAAAGACACCTTCACCCTGTGTAACGACAAGAAGGCAGGCCAAACTAGCATGGCTGATGATCCTAGCAAAAGCACCCAGAACTGGCGCAGCAGTTAGAGTGCAGTACTCCAGGCCACTTTAGCTGACTGTGTTCAGCAGGTCAGTGGTTCAAATCTTACCGGCTCAAGGTTGACTCAGCCTTCCATCCTTCCGGGGTAGGTAAAATGAGGACCCAGATTGTTGGGGGCAATGTAAATATATATATACATTGCTTACTGGTGTACACCGCTTAGAGAGTGCTTGCACTTAAAAAGCGGTATATAAGTCTCATAAATAAATAAATAAATTTAATTAACTTTATTTATACTTCCACTTTCTTACCACCTTCGTGTATTCCAGTGATGGTGAACCTTTTAGAGACTGAGTGCCCAAACTGCAACCCAAAACCCACTTATTTATCGCTGGGTGCCAGGTGGGTGTGGCCCACTGGGTGGGTGTGGCTGTGGTGATCATGGCAGACTGGGTGGGTGTGGCCAAGGTGGGTATGGTCACCTCAATGTTGCTCGTGGGGAGGGACACCTGTGGGGGCCGGGCAGGGCTGGGGGAGATCCAGGGGGTCTCTGGCAGGTGGTGGGCAGGAGGCTTGTCCTTCGGGGTGAGGTGAGGCAGGGCAGGGGTGTCATTATTGGAGGGCAAGGCAAGGCAGGGGCCGGGGCGGCTACTGCCTGACACCATCGCCCCCCACACACAGAGGCCAGCGAGTGCATGGGGGCCAACTGTCTGTCAGCAGCCACAGCCTGCTGGCCCCTCAACCAGTACACTCTGGGGCTCCGCAGCCTGCCACCAGCAGTTTAGAGAAGTGCCCACAGAGAGGGCTCTGAGTTGTGCCTCTGGCACGCGTGCCATAGGTTCGACACCACTGGTGTATTCCTTCAAGATACTGAGAAGTTGATTTTTCATGGGACTGATTTTTGATGTCACAAACAAGCAAAAATTCAATTCTCTGCCCACTCACAAAGCATTACACAGAACCCCCCAAATATAGGCAATCCTCATCTGTTTGACTGAACAGAAAGGGTGTGTGAGAGAAAGAGAGTTAACACACTTGCAGACAAAACTATCCTCTACTGATTTTAACAGTTTTTCAAAACCAGATGGGTGCTGACCAAACAAACAGAGATGAAAGGAGCTAGAAATTGCCTAAGCAACTATGACTATTTTGTCTGCTTCAAAGACTCATTTTGGCTTGCTCAATACAAGATGGTTAAAAGAAATCAGACTTAAGTGCAAAGCAGTACAAAACGTCCCTAATAATCTCTTATTATTGTGTTCAGAAAGGTCTCTTTTCTTTTCTGCTACTAAAATAAGCTGATGGTAAATCAGTGTTTGAAGCCTCCCTGAGTATTTGCACTATCTATCGAGCAGGAACTATGGATAAGACTTCAAGAAAGAATGGACTTCCTTTGCAATGAATCCAATCAATTGCTCAGACAGATGCACAGAAAAATCTTCTCCCCAACCGACAAGTGCAATTTTGAAAAAGCCTTTGTATTCTGGAAAAGTTACATTTCATTTCCAATAAACAACTCAAAACAAAGAAGAAGAAAGAAATAAACCCAGAATGTTTCCTTGCAAAGCAGAATAAAAAGGATCCACCAGAAGACACTTTTAAGTCGGTCCAGACAATAAAGACTTCTTTAAAACACAGTATCTTCAATTGAGTTTCCTCTGTCATCTTAGCTAACCCCACCTCTAACCAAGCCCGGCCAATCAGAAATTGGCTGTCTAGTAAATGCCACATGATGAGGTCTTCCCACCTTGACATCAGCCTGGAGACTCCATACTTACTCTTGAACTGCTCTGGCTATTGAGAGGGCTGTGGATCCAGTCTCATTCACACTATCCAAAGTCACATTGGGCAGGTCATCATCATCACTGTCACTTTTAATCTGTCTGGGAGACAGGCCACGAGGGTCCATTTGTGCTGGGAATAAGGAGACACAATTGGTTAATTACAGCAACTGTGACATTAATATCACTCTGCAACAACATTTGGATGGGCATGGTCCTTCTGTTCTGCATATGCCATCAATGTATTTCTTATTCTTGTTTAGATCTCAAGAACAGCTCCCAAGAATTTATTAAAAGGACACATAGTTTAAACAATGAAGTGTGTGTGTGTGTGTGTGTCTATAGCCATAAGTTACAATCTACTCCAGGGTTTCACAATCTCAGCATTGACAATATTATGATCTAGATCAGGGGTCTCCAAACTTGGCAAGTTTAAGACTTGTGGACTTATGATCTAGATCAGGGGTCTCCAAACTTGGCAAGTTTAAGACTTGTGGACTTCAACCCCCAGAATTCCCCACCTTCACACTTCAAACGTTTCATTGGCTGAAATTTGGGAATCAGAGAAACAACACCCTGGAATTTGTTGTCAGACATTAATAAGAAAAATTAGGTGGACATAGAGGCAAATGACCTATATAAGACCAGTTACCTACCCAGTGCTATATGGAATGATGAGATTTATCTCTGTTCTCCAGTAACAAGCTGAGATCCATTAAATCAGAGTGGTTCCATATTGCAAAATAGCTTAACAATCTATAAACTTTGCACAAATGAAGCTGCTAGTGCCTGTGTGGCAGTGCTACTGCAAGTGGGGTGAAGCTCACCAGCTATTCCTGGGGTCTGGTGGCCAACAGGCCACGGACCAGTACCGGGCCACAGACCATAGGTTGGGGACCCCTGCCTTAGACCATTTCAGACAAGACGCTATCCAATCTCTTCTTCAAAACCTCAAGCGATGCAGCACCCATAACGTCTGGAGGCAAGCTGTTCCACTGGTTTATTGTTCTCACTGTTGGGAAGTTTCTCCTTAATTCCAGGTTGCTTCTCTCCTGGATTAGTTTCCATCCATTGTTTCTTGTCTTTCCTTCTGGTGCTTTGGAAAATAATTTGACCCCCTCTTCTTTGTGGCAGCCCCTCAAATACTGGATTACTGCTATCATGTCACCCCTAGTCCTTCTTTTCTCTGGACTGGCCAAACCCAAATCCTGCAACCGTTCTTCACATATTAAATATTAATATTTAATAAATATTAAATTTAATTAATATGAAACAACCAGGCTACCTTTCCAGTAAGGGGGGGGGATGACTTCAGGATCAGGAAGTGGCCCAACACAATGGCTGCAACACCCACCTGAGGGGTATCACTTTCTACTGTGCCTCAGAGAGGAGGTAACAGACTTCACTCAAGTGACTGATATGTTAATACAGTGTTTCTCAACCTTGACAATTTTAAGGCATGTGGACTTCAACTCCCAGAATTCCACAGCCAGCATTGCTGGCTGTGGAATTCTGGGAATTGAAGTCGACATGCCTTAAAATTGTCAAGGTTGAGAAACACTGTGTTAACACATCTGCAATCAGACAAAAATGTGTGCAGGTCCACAATAGTAGTTGCACAATGCAAATATTCAAGCCACACAAATATTAGAGTAGTTGATCTAAATAATGAATCAGTCACCCTGCAAAGGGTCAAAAAAAATTCTAGAAGTTGAACGTCAGACTTTGACTCAGTGTTCCTATTTCTCTTTCCTTTGTCAACTCTTAGCATAATGTGCTCCTCCGTAAGCACTATCAAATAGCAAATCCTGAGTCCTCCCCCCCCCATTTTTAGCAAATATCTAAATGGCATGGAATGAGACTCTAAGCAGCAAAGTTTGTGCGTCATTCTCACGGCATGTCACTGCTGCCTTGGAATTAAAACACAACAAACAAACAAATAAAAATGTCCTGTCTTTTTGTTAAGTGTCTAAACCAGCTGTCTACAAATGCAACTGCTCCTCCTGTTCTTGAGCAAATCCTCAATCTGAGATCCTCTCTCTGTTTAATTGATGAAGATAATAATATTGAAGGGGTAAATGGTGTGGTTCCCAGAAAGCCTGTCTATTTGGGTAGAAAAATACAACTGATATACATAAGGGGGAGGAAACAGGAGAAAAAGCTTCATAACAGTTCCTCAAAGCTGTGATGAAGATTTGGTAAGGAGGGTTACCCTTGGGACAACACAAAGGGGATGCAGTGGTCTAGCATAGGGGTCCTCAACCCCCAGTCTATGGACTGGTAAAGGGCCGTGGCATGCCAGTAACCGGACTGCACAAACAAGCAAAGCCCCATCAGCAGGATACAGGCAGCACACAAAACCACGCACTCTCCGGTCCATGGAAAAAGCTCTCTCCATGGAACTAGTCCCTGGTGCCCAAAAGGTAGGGGACCTCTGGTCTAGCATATAAGACAGTGGAGTGGTCAACCAAAAGGTTGGCAGTTCGAGACCTAAGTACATCTATGCGACAGGGTTGAGCTCCCATTTTTTTTTTATCTAGCTCCTGTCAACCTAGTAGTTCAAAATCATGAAAATGAAAATAGATAAATAGGTATCACTTCAATGGGAAGTGCACCTCGGCATATAGTCATGCTGGCTGCATGACCACAGAAGCATCTTTGGACAATTCTGTCTTCCTAAGCTAGGAAATGGAGATGAGTCATACATGACTCACACAGAAACTTTTACCTTTTCAAAACAACAGAAAGAAGCCTCAATTGTAACTAAAAACTCCCTCTGTGTTTGCTTTTCTCCCCAATATTTTATCCTGGGTTTCTGTCACTTGAGAACATCAGATAGCTATCTTAAAACTCAGCTCTTACTTAGAAGGAAAAAATTTCCCACCAAGCCAACCTTGAAGGTTAAAACTTACATTTTAAAGACAATCTCAATATTTTTTTTAATAGGTTGGGTCAATAATGTCAATTACCTAAACTAACCTCCAAACAAATCATGGATTTTTAGATTTGTTGGGGTTTCCCCCCCCCATGTCCTATTGTGGAATGTGGTTAGAAACCCTTGATTCATAGCAAGATGAGGGCATCAATTTTCAATATTCTGTTAGCAAATTAAAGACAAAGAGCAACCTTTAGCATTGAGGTCTGTTTGCAAACAATATTCCATCAACTTCATCATTTAGCTGTGACTTCAAAATGGCAGCTATATTATCTTGCCCTTTCCGAATTATGCAACTAATTATGCAGTAAGCTTGTTAATGCTGCAGGATTATCATTTCTTGGACCTGAATGCTGAATATTAACCTTCTGTGGTTCAGAAAGAAAGGGAGAAAAGAAGAAAATTGCTGGGAGGTTCTGGCACAACTCTAATGTTGTGCTGTGTGAACAGGAGTCTACTTCAGATGTTACAGTATGTAAGAGCAACCTTAGCCACTTTGAGATGTGTGGACTTCAATTCCTAGAATTCCCCACATTGAGGTTTACATATCCCCAAGTGGCCAAGATTGAAAAATACTGTCCCAAAGCTTCTAATGGAATGGCCCCACCAAAGAAGACCAAGTTCTTCATGGTTCTCCTAAAGAGAATGACCAGGTAGAACACAGAACATCAGAGTGGAAGGTAACTTAGAGGTCTTCTAGTCCAACCCCTTACTCAAGCAGGAGATCCTATACCATTTCAGATAAAATGGCTGTTCAGTCTCTTCTTAAAGGCCCCCAGTGATGGAGCACCCACAACTTTTGAAGGTGAAGTTTTGAGGTACATTGGGGCTGTCCTATTTAGGAGGGGAGGGGAAGCAAGGAGAAAGAAGGAGAATGATTGACCTATGAAAAGCACATCAGGAAAAAAAATTCAGTGCTGGAAGAATCTCAGATGGCTTCATGATTTGTCTTCTGTTGGATGTTTTGTGAGAAAGTTCTCATCCTCATAAAAATTTCTAACCAGTTAGTGCTCCAGAATAGGTAGACAGCAGCAGACTCTGGATCAGACACTTTTGCGTGGGACCTCCATAGCTAATATTCTACACATGAAGAATCTTGAGAAGATGGCCACATTTCTAGTTTTCCTTGCACAGCTTTTTAAATCTTCTCCATCTGGCTGGGAATTCAAATTCTGGTCAAACTTCCCCAGTCTATAAGTTGGCTGAGGCAGCTTTTTGTGAACAATGTTCCGTGCCACACAGCCTGGGCACAATGCTTCCTGCTTGCTGTGCTCTTCAGTTCCTCTGCCTTAAACTCTGGCTTATGTCTTGCCATATTCCTTCTGCACTTTAGTGCCCCCTTTGCCCCTTTCAGATCTCCTACTAATAGGAGGACCGTATGCCTGCTTATTTACAAAGAAGATTCTCTGTAAATGTAAACACTCTGTCCAGGCCGAATTCCAAATTGTCAGGGTTTAAGATGCAGATAGAAAAAAAAAATTGGAATGCAACATTGTCTGGATGCATTATTTGGGTGGACTTGGGAAGAAAAAAAATTGCATCACTTCTCATTCATTTTTGTTTTTTGAATTTATTTTTCATTTAGCCTCATTAAAGGTAAAAGGGTCTAAAGGCTTAGTAGCTAAAGATGCTGAGTTTGTCAGCTGAAAAGCTGACAGCCCAGTTTTGAAACCTGAGTGCCACATGACAGCGTGAGTTCCTGTTTCTTGGTTCAGCTCCTGCCCACCTAGCAGTTCTAAAGCATGTAAATCTGAGTAGATAAATAAGTGCCAGTTTGGTGGGAAGGTAACAGCATTCTGTGTGCCTTGGTGTATTAGTCTGCCATCCACATGACTATGGAATATGTCTTTGGATAACGCTGGGTCTCAGCTAAGAAATAAAGATGAGCATGGACATGACAGGACAGGGGAAACTTTACCTTTACCGGTGCCTGCTTATTCACAAAGAAGATTCTTTTTAAATGTAAACACTGTGTCCAGAGAGAATTACAAAATCTATCCAAATAGTCAGGGTTTAAGAAGTAGGAAGAAAAATAAAATCAGAGTACATTATTTGGGTGGCTTTGGGAAGAACAGAAATTGCATCAGTTCTCACTCATTTTTGGGGATTTATGTTTGGTTTACTAATGTCTTATTCTATGAAGCCCTTCAGGTTTGAGAAACAGCACACATGTGGTATGTACAATATGTATGTATGTG